AAAGTCTTCCCTACGCCTATAGGCAAAAATGAACAATGATTTCGACTATGTTCATCACCGTCCAAAGTTCATCACACGGTCACGATTGTCAGGTAATGTTTCAATTTTAATATTTTTTTCTATAAATCAGAATGATCTGAAATTTGGCATGTTTACATCTTAGTGTGGTGCATCTAATAAAAATAAGAAAAAAATATTTCGCAAAATATAAATTGACCAAAATACCCCCATAAATTTTTAGGGGTATTTTGATCAGTTTATATTTTTCGAAATTATTTTTTATATATTTTTATTAGGTGCGCCTCACTACGATGTACACAACCAGACAACGGTGACCGTGAGATGAAGTTTGGATGGTGATGAGGGTAGACGAAATCGCTGTTCATTTTCGCCTACAGGTGTTTGTAGTATCTTCCATATATATATATAGGGAAATACAGGTGTAGGCTCACTAGCCTACAGCTATATATAGGCCCAACGACCTAGATTGAATCTAGGCCAATCCAACGATCACGATTGCAGTTCGCATCTGAATTTTATTTTATTTTTATATAAATCCAAATCACTTGAAAATTTGGGCGTGTGTTCTTTAAAAATATTAGAATCCAATAAAAATAAAAATAAAAAATTTATTTTGTGAAAAATAAATTAACCAAAATACCTCCCAAAATATTTTAATATTTTTATTTGGTGCATGTTGATGAGAAGAATAGACGTGTAAAATTTTACATGATTGGATTTGTAAAAAAAAAATTCAAATTCAAATACGAAATAAGGTCATATCCGTCAGATCGGCCTAGATTCAATCTGGGCCGTTGGACCTATATGTAGTTGTAGGCTAGTAGGCCTACGCCAGCATTTCCTCTATATATATATATATATATATATATTAGGGCAGTGATCTAATGCAACAGTTGAATCATAGTATAATGCAACCACACTTCTAGAAAACCATGTTTGTGGTATTTGTATAGCCCAAAATTTTGCACACACACTCTTCATCTCAATAATCAATCCCAAAAAAAAAGCTCGATTTGAACCCTATATATATAGTCAAAATGAGTCCCCACCAACAACTAATTTTAGACCATTCATTTGGTGAATTTCAAGATCTTAGCCATTACACACTCAAAATCATTTTTTTCTTTATTAACATTGTTCATCTAATGATAATAAAGCAATCTAAAAAAATTGGAAAAGAAAAAAATCCTTCTAAGGCCTAGATCTAAGCTTCTCACCAAGATGGACAGTCGATGTTAATTGGGCTAAAAACATACTTTCGAAGTTGCATTTTCAAATTTTTATTTTTTGTGATGGTTCATTAGAATGAAAAGAGTGTATATTTTAAAATTTGGATCAAACAAATAGCCCTAACATGGTTTATGAAGGTTGATGGATTATATTACTATACAACCGTTGCATGAAATCACTGCCCATATATATATATATGATGAAGTAAATACAATAACACAAACTGGGCTTGGAAAATTCACCTGCTCTTCTAAACTAAGATTTGTGGTCTTTAGTTTCTCCTCAAGTTCAGAGACGAGGACTTTCAAGGAACGTATTTCTGTTATATGTGCATTTCTAGTCTCCATGTCCTCGTTCATCTTGGCCTCCCTTTCAGTATCTTTTTTAAGCAGGGTCTCATGCTGCTCAAGTTTAAAGGCAAAATGAATAATAAATATGTAATTCTACACTTTGAAGGGGATCACTTGTCAAAGGAAGACACAGAATCCTCAATGGATAGGCCGACTTAAATCAAATTTGCTCATTTAAAAAGAAAAAAAGCAACAGGCAGACTAGCAAAAACTAAGGCCGATAAAAAAGTACAAGTATATGAAAAAATTCATACTTTAAATGTTGAGAACAGCAAATCCAGTATGCAAATTATCCATGAATTTTCTAATTGTTGCAAAAGGAGAGTGAATGTTATTGGAAACACTATGTTTTCTTGGTACTCTGATGAAATGGGCCAATGGGTTCTCAGCCAGATCTTTGGAGAATGCAATTGTAATTTGGCATGCTAAGAAATCATGTGTGTCTATGTCATTTCTTCTAGAAGGAACATTGTAAAAAGCATGAAGAGAATCTAGTTGAAGTTGGAACCTGCTCATTCAAGGTCGTGTGAGCAATATGGAGATCAGCCACTTGTACAGCCAATATATCTCTATCCTGCAGCTTAGCTGCATGCTCCTCCAACTTAGAAATAAGATCTGATTCCTTTTCAGCTGCCTCTGCCCTAAGTTTTACAACCTACGAGAGTAGGAAAAAAATTTGTGAGAGAGAGAGAGGGTAGCAGAGATCACTCCAAATGCAATTTCAGACAAAATTTTGATTTCCACATCATTATATATTTCCTAATCAATTAAATGAATTGTACTAGACTTAATACTAAGGGCATCAGATAAATTATAAAGCTTGACTCATTTCATCTACCTGCTCTTGGAACTGGGCTTCTGCCAGCAATAGCTTCTCTTCAAGCTCTTCTAACTTCGTCTGCAATGTGGATTTCTCAGCAAGTTCAGCTTTGAGACTTTCTAAGTTGGCAATGAGAGTCTTTTCTCTAGTATTCCCCTCACTTAAATGCTCTTCCATCTCAGACATTAATATATCTCTATCTTGCAGCTTAGTTGAA